GTTTTAATACAATATGTTCCCTCATATTTTTCAGCATCGGGATCAGTAAATTTTCATCGCAAATGCCACCGACGATAATTTTATCGAGTTAAACTCTCTCGTGGAAATGAAACAAGGTAAAGACATAGGAAAAACGTGTCTAATAGGGTCGTAAAGGTACAATCGCATGTTTCGTGCAAACGTGAATTACCCAGTGACCTCAATACAGCGCACTTTTCGCGCGCGTTTCTAGTAAGCGCGAGTAATATCAGTCAGGCACGGCTGTTCCTCTGTTAACTTTTAAAATACTGAGCCATTTTCAATCATAAATGGATATTATGTAAAAGAAAAAACAGTTTTAAATTACAAATGAAAAATATTAGAAACTATAAGAGACAAAATAATATTTGTTCACATAATGTTATGAAAAAAGTTATATACTCGATAAAACTTGGTACACTGTAATTACATTGATTCTCATCAAAAGTTCTCAGATACCCTTTAGAGAAAAAGTATCACCCTCAGCAAACACTTCTATGTTTAACAATTTAATTTTAGCTGTGCGTGAGTCCCCTCTACCCCCCCCCTAAAATCAATAAACTTAACTTTTCAATGTAAATTGTATTTTTCTTCATCAAATTTGGATTTAGTATAAACTTATTTTTTAATTTAATAATATTATCAAAGAATTTATCGTTCTTAGATTGAGGATTTAAGATTGGATATTAAGATTGAAGATTCTTAAGATTGATTGCACCATAAGAAAAAGCACAAAATTTAGATATAAATACACTGGCCAACAAAATTAACGCAACACCTGTTTCACTCTGCAAAAATAGGCAAATTTCAAGATACAATAACTTCGTCAAAAATTATCGTATCGAAATGTTTGAAAAAGAATTTTACAGGTTGAAACCTTTACTTTTCAGATCGTTATGTAAAAGACGATCTCATGGAGATTTTATGAAGTTACACTAACATAAATGAAGATATATCAGATCAATATTTTTTATGAAATTTGCGGAGTTCCACGGAGTGGAATAAAAATTGTATACAAATGCCATTTACATCCAAAGGACCATTTTTGCTTCAACGTTGAATAACTCGATGAAAAAAAATCGTACGGAGCTTCGTAAAAAAGCAAATTAAAGGTAAAGATTTGTTCTTTCGAATAATATAAATCGCATTTGTATACAATTTTTATTCCACTCCGTGGAACTCCGCAAATTTCATAAAAAATATTGATGTCTGATATATCTTCATTTATGTTAGTGTAACTTCATAAAATCTCCATGAGATCGCCTTTTACATAACGATCTGAAAAGTAAAGGTTTCAACCTGTAAAATTCTTTTTCAAACATTTCGATACGACAATTTTTGACGAAGTTATTGTATCTTGAAATTTGCCTATTTTTGCAGAGTGAAACAGGTGTTGCGTTAATTTTGTTGGCTAGTGTAACTTTGTAATGTATAACCATATTTCTAATTATTTTTTTAGTAATATTAAAGTTTTAAATAATTAAAGATTTTTTAATAATCTTGTTGATGCATGTTGTTTCTATTCAAAACACAACAATTCACAATTGAACGTTTTACACTTAATACAAACATTATTAGTTAAACTAAATGTCAAATGTTATTAAAAATAGAAATGTGTAATGATACTGTTATAATGCAACATGGTAATGTAATCTCTACTACATTACGATGCTGTATTATTACAGATTTCTATTGTTAATGACATTTGACATTTGGTTTAACTAATAATGCTTGTATTAAGTGCAAAATGTCCTATTGTTTGAATAGAAACATGCATCGCTCTAGAAATAAAGCTTTTGAAGTCAATTGTCAGCAAAAATTTTATTTACCATCATTTTCTTCATTTTTAATATTAAATATTTTGAGTAGTTGATAAATTTTGCTATAATTATTGACTGTCAATTTATTTTCAAGTTTTTATGTCGTATTTTAAGATTACTTAAACATTCGTTAGAAAGTAGATGAGGATCATAATATTTTTCAATGTAGAATGTTATTATCTCTTTTGTGGGTCACTTCGAGAAACAATATAATATCTTGCAAATTCTGAACATTCTTTAACTAGATCGCGCTGGAATGGAAAGTTTATGAGGGATTTATTTTCAAGTTTACGGAAGTTTACTAGAAAGAAATCTCTTTTTAGTACAGCAATCTTTCTCGCCCTCCCTCTCCTTCTCTTTGTCTCTATTTTTCCAAAGATAAATTCGAGACATTATAAAAGAACGATGTACTAGCTCCAAAAAATCATTCGTATTAAGTTATTACGAACGAAAAACAATCGGATCTAAATTATTAATAGTACGAAAGAAATAAGTTCTTCTGCAATAAAAAATTATTGTCACTATTCTCACAAAAACGCATATCATTTGTTTAAAGAAAATCTCACTTTAAAGTTAATATATTAAAATAAATTAATATTAAAATAAATTAATACGTGTGTCATATTTTTTACACGCTTTATTTATATTCTATATTTCTCCATAATAATTTTTGAAACTTTAAATGCGATTATTTTCTTAAAACTCTATTTTATGACATAAATCCACAATTTAAACGCATTCAGAAATTTCCAAAGCTATCCCTGTGCAACATTGTCCATAAAATAATGCGAGGCTACATACAATCGCGAGAAATTAGAGAGTTGTACATATCGGAAGCAAGTATTACGACACAATGGTTAGAATTTAGATTAAGAATAAAGACAGATTTGTGAGGATAAACTATATTACACTTGCAAATCAAGGTTCAATGAAAATTTGAATAATATTTACTAAAAAAATAAAAATGGCAAAGACACGATCAGATATGTGTCGATAAATGTATGTAACAAATATAAAATGCATAAAAAATGTCGATAAAAATCGAATAAACTTCACACACACATACATACGCGCGCGCGTGTGAGTGTGTATTATACAATAAATAATATATATCATCATAATATAATAAATATGGAAAATATATTTAAAAAATAATAAATTGTATAAATACATAATATACAAATATATAAACAACTAATATAAGTAGATTCATAATATATTTTAAGTAATTCAAATAATTTATTAAAACTTTAAATAATTTTTTTTAAAAGCATTATAGATAATGTTAAAAAAATAAGACGCGATAATAAACTAATATACAATTTACCAACTTCAAAAAGCTGATAAGTAGCTTTCAGTCTAATAAATCAGGAGAATATTTAAATGTTTACATATAAAATCCTTAATAAATAAAATTGTCATAAAAAAAATTATATAATGCAATATCTCTTTAATGCAAGTCTAATACTGTCATCGAGAATTATATTCTGCAAACGAGGTTCTGATTATGCAAGAGTATTAGACTGGCCTTCTAATTATCTCCTACAAGTCACTAATTACTGATAAAGCTGCGATAGAAATGCATTGTGCTAGCTACAGCATCACACCAGTATCCCATATTGTACAGTTAATTGCAACAGAGAAGCGATCTGCATTCTATTGAACGTTACTGTGGGAAATTTCGGTACATTTATATCTGTCTATAGTATAATAGAATTTCGGAAATGGTGGAAATTTGAATCACCAGTCATACATGAATTAAATAATTCTTCAATTAATATATAAATATCTTTGTAAATACAAACTTTTATTATAATTTGAAGATACTTTATTTCTTGCCTTCGCTATATCATATCCATTATTTTAGACTTTAACATTATTTTTATATTTATAACAACCTCAAAAATCATATCAATACTTAATCCTTTAATTTCGTTAGAATATAAATTAGAATATGAAAATATTCTTTGCACTCGATATATTGAACTTTTGTTTTAATCTTCTTTTCATATTCACCGATTATAACGACATTTAAAAACAATGAAATTTACTTAGTTCATCTTTTTAAAAAAGTTAAACGTGTTATACATATAGTAAATTGATACTCTTCTTTATATTTAATTTTACGTTTATGCCATCTCTATTTCACTTTTTAAAATGCCATTACGTAATTTTTTGCAAATAATTTATAGTGCTAATTGGCACAGTAAGCTGATATAATCTAATTATATGGCGCGAGTTTCCAATTACCGATTGTATCGTGATAACGATCGATTCTTACATTATGCTTAACCATTAAGTTAACACAACCTTTGGTGACGATGAGTAATAATACTGTCTGATGAAACTAGTTTGATACAGCGATAATATTGATCTCAAAAACACGTTAAACTTTAATTACATTTTCTGATCATTTTCTCTGACTATAAACTCTTTTAAGAAATTTTATTTTATATAATGTATACATAATACATACATTCATCAGTTATTGTATTAATTAATATTGTATTAATTAATAATATATTCTAGAATTATTATGTGTGAATTTTACTTTGCTTTCAATTTCTTCGGTAATAAAATATTTTATTTCATTATATATCTCATTTTTATGTAAAAACGTAGCAAAATATATATTTTTTACGCACAATATTATAGTAGAATATTAATTTATATATCTGTAAACGTATATTTTATTTGGTAACATTTTACTATCTTCTTTACTTTTAAAAGAATTTAATCTCTCTTGATTATAAAATAATTTTGTTTTAAGTAGTTTAGTTAAAACGTTTATTAACCGGTCTATACATAGAAGTATACCATTTAATGCGTAAATTAAATGACTAACATTTTAAATTTCTCCTCCTTAAAAAAAGATCAAGTATGCATTAGTCGTGTATCGTTTTAGCTTGTTAGTAAATGATCATTTTATATCTTTTCCTTGAAATTTTGAATTACATCATGACTTTGTAATATTTCCCAAGTGGCATAGCAGCGCTTACAAAGCGCTAAAAAAGCTAAAAAGATTATATGCTTTTTTAGCACTTTGTTGACGCTGTGTACTACTTAGATCTTTTACTCTTTTTATTGCAATTATTCGTCTCTTTTTTAATGAATTTTACTCAGCTATCTCCTAATTTAAAAAGCAGGAACTATGTTACTCACTCTGTCTGATTATCCTCAAACGTCAAGCTGCCTTCGGTATGCACATATTGCTTGCCAGGCTTCGCAGTGCCCTCCATAGTACGATAAGGGATAATAACGCGACCTCGGGCCCCACTATAGCGCACTACCCGCAGAGGATGCTGACCCACGCTCTCCACTAGTTCTACATCTCTCTCGGGAAACCCAAAAATGCCGCTGTGATCGTCATCCAGAATCATTACCGTTGCCAAGCTCGGCGAGACAAGCATTGCTGGTTGTGATACATTACTAAGCCTGAAAATTAGAAAACGTTATCATTAATTCGTGAAAAATACTAACTTTAACAACAAAAATCTCTTCCACGAATTTGGCACAATAATAACATATAATTTAAAAAATATTTCAAACAAAGAGATAATATAAGAGATAATATTGTTTAAATTATAATTATATATTTTTAAAACAAAAGTAAACATGTCAATTTTATAAAATAAGCGTTATTTATTAATTGATTTTATAATGACTAATAAAAATAAATTTCTCGCTTGTCAAATTGACCTTGAATTGCACGTGTGTTTTAATTTGCAGCTCGACAAATCTTTTATTTTCTATCTAAACATGTCATTCTGAGTAGAATACTTTAATCAAGTTCACAGGTAAGCTGGTCTATAATTTCAACGTTCGTATTTGCCATTCAAAAGAGTATTCATCTAAGATTTTATTTTTATCCGTTGGTCTCGCGCGCATTTAATACAAAGATACTTTTTATCATTTATTCTTACTATTTATATAATTTCTTATATCTTCTTTATAACATATAAGTAATACGTGCAATTTTTATAATAGACATATATTGTACATATTATAATACGTATATATAATTATATAAATTACATATAATTAAAATTTTTTCCTCGACAATATTATTTTATATCTATTTGATCTTTCATTTGTACGAAAAATTATTTAACTTGTATAAAACTTTCATTTTTTTCTTTATAACTAAAAACACAGAAATAAAATATTCTTGTAGTTCTGATATATAATGTACCTTACCACATAATATAATATAACCATATATACAATACCGTTCTGTTTTCTTTTCATTATTATAATTATTCACATGTGAGAAAATAGACTATTAATGCCAATAACAGTCTTTAGATTTTTTTAGAATTATGACATGTACGAAGATTAGTAACAATAGTTTTCTCCTCGACCTATATATCACTAATTATCGGCAGAACTCTTTATTACCGTAATTGATGCAGAAATACAATGCAATTTAACTTCTTTGTACTTTGTTATTTTTCTCTGATTTTTCTCTCAATCTGAATTATCAAATACGTTTATCAGTACATGTTTTACTTATATATTTAATAGCACATGCATGTGTGATTTCCGCGCGACCTAGCGATGCAATCTGACATGCGAGGTAAAGTTGCAAATAACAGAAATAAATAATCGGGTCACCTAGCCGAAACAACACGAACCTGTAGTTTCCAATCGTGGCGTGAAATAGAGGGATCTATAGATTGTATGTAAAAAGAGACACATGTATCGCTAAGAAAAAAAACCAAAGAGACCGAAAGAGTCCAGAGAGAGAAGAAAAAACAAAAAAAGAGAAATATAGAGAAACTGAAATAGATCTAAAATCAATCACTTATCCATAATTCCATATTCCTTATTATTCTAAAAGTATATTTTTATGTCACAAAACTATTCTATAATTTTGTTCTATATAAGCATGTGTGTGTGTGTGTGTGTGTGTTGCTTTAATCCGAGGACCAAGTTTTATTTCTGTGACATTCGACAAAAATTTCAAACTCTTTGCATTTTTACGCTGACAATGTTAAGTGAAAACAAAATATAAAACATGTTTAAAAAACATGACGTTCAGATACATTAAATGTTTACGATTTGTATGCTATGTGCAAAGATTCTTCTGCGTTTTCCAGAAATTAATTTATAATTTGATTAGATATAAATCCATGACTTCTTGCAATTTTTCTGCAAAAAATGTTTGTCAAAAAAATATATTTGTAATAATTATAAAAATTGTACAGCTCAATTTAACAGCTTTAGTGTCATATATTGTGTATACAAAAAATATAATACATAATCCAATGGTTAAGTAATCGTTTTCCCATATCACCGCTATTCAGCTTTAGCAAACAAAAAATTTGTTGTAAACAAAATGAAAACATGATATAAAAGAGGCAAATATAAAATGTGTTGATATCATAATTAAACAATCTGTAAAATGTATAAAATGTATGTATGGACATATCTGTGTAACGTAATTTATAAACTATGGTAATGTTAATATTAATTATTGTAGGTATATTATTATATTTTTTAAATACGTGATGTAAAATACATGAAATTGTGTTAATAAATAAATAAAAATATTAAAAGATAAAGAGTAATATTTATAAAATAATTAATTGTGTTAATTCATTAAACACATCAACATATTAATTAATTGTTTTTTAACTTTTCGATTGTATCTCTATATTTTTCAATCAAACTTGTATATTATATGTAGTAATATTAATTATTTTCTAATATGAAAAAAGGAACATAAAATTTGTTGTAATCACTACACAAATTGTTATTAGCGGTATGTCATATATTAAAATTTAACAATATTTATAACGACTTTAATAAAGTTATAGCCACGCTAATAGCCACCCTTAACATCTTTCATTAAACCAATCAATAACAGCTTATTTACTGATTAAATTGCAACTACTACTCGTTTGAAATCAATTGAAAGATTGCCCTTTCGTCGCTGATCAATGATCTTGTATGACTACAATGAACTATATATATATATTCAATAGATATATTTTAAGAATTAATTTCTTTAAAAAGGAATATTGATGTAATTGCAATTCTTAATCAGCACACGATAATTATATATATTGGATGCCTTACGGCGTTGCTTTTAGCTTCTTGAAATAAATTATCGATAAAAATCCCAATATTCGAATATATAAACATACTTTACGTTAATGTTATTATATGAAAAAGGGAGAAAGAATAACTGGAAATATAGGATTTATCGCAAATTAAATTTCGATGGATCGGATAAATAGATGTGTAAAATTAAGTCTCTCTCTTATTCTTTATTTAATTTCAGGTAGACTTTATTGTAATAAATTGTAATTTTTTTTTATTGATATAAAATATAATTATTTAAATATTCAATATTAAAGTTAGAACTTTTGAAGCACCACAGAAATTTTCGCAGAAATGTGATATAAAACAATGAAACTTTGGTAAAAATAATATCGATAGAAATAAAAAATAAATTTAAAAAAGTATACCATTTCATAAATATCTCATATCGAACAAAAAATAGATAAAAATAAACAATAAAAGCGAACGCGGTTATCAGAGCACAGTGGTTAGAGATTATTATTAAAATCTTATATAAGTATCGCAATCACAATTGCATGATTACGATTGCGGTGACGATACTTGTGAAAAATTTTAACAATAAATATATAAACACTACGCTCCGACATCCACATTAGCTCTCATTCACTATTTATATCTTTTTTTTTTAACTGGTATCAATATCCTGACCGTTCTAATAACTTTAACAAAGCAATTTACAATAATTTTAAGCTATATCTTTTTAATAATGAAAAATGCAAAAAGTATCAGAATGATATATATTTAACTTTTCAATTATGAGCATCATTAAATCTTATACGAATCTAAAATAATATTATATAATATTAATAGCTTCATTAATAAATTATAATAAACTTTGTAATTTAAATTTTATTTAATACAATGTAATTTTCAGTAATTTATGAATAATACATCAAATTAACAATAATATTAAACTGTGTTTTGTATTTTTATCTTTGCACAATTCATTGTATATCTCCATTTTTATTAATAATACGAGGACTAACTGGAATGACATTTTATTTTTATTATTTTCCTCATTTCCAGCATTTAACGTACCTTAAAATAACGACCTTAATATCTCTTTGCTAAAATTGTTCGAATTTCTCTAACATTTTATATATTCTATCATCATAAGTGTTCGCAAAAAAAAGTGATTATCACTAACCTCACGTAAAAATGTTCATCCTCCTCGAACAACTCGTCATCGATAACTGAAAGCTTGATAGTCTTCATGGTCTCGCCAGGCTCAAAAGTCAGAGTGCCCTTGGCACTCACATAATCAGATCCCGCTTCAGCGGAGCCATCTTCGGTGCAGTAATCTACAGTGCAGGGTCTGCTGAGATCACCTCCAGCCCTGGAAACGCCCACTTCAAAGCTCCCAACGTTCTCCATCACAGTATAATGACCAGGTTCGAAAAATACTCTCATGGCGTTGACATGTTCGATATCGATACTCTCCGCTTCAGCTTTCTGCAACTCGGCCTTGACCTCGCTAAGGTCGCTCTGCGCTCTTTCGCTGATCTTCCTGCTGAGGTTGCCCGCGCCTACCATCTTCCTCGTAGCCTGCACCCTGTAAAAGGCCCTGCTCTTAGGACCTTTTCCCAACACCTCCTCGTGAGCCATGACTTCCAATTGTTCCAGAGCCAAAGTAGGGTACTTTTTACGCAATTCCTTTAACGTATTGATGTAATCTCGGCGAGTTTGCTCGAACTCTTTCGCTTCGGGGGAATCGCCGTCGGCTAGGCGGTCCACCATGCCGTGAAAACCATCTTGCTGAGGCTTGATCTCCAGCTCCACCCCCATCTCGGAATCCCCAGCCTCCGCCTGCACGATTACACCCCGCTTGTTCATTCGGTAACCTTTGTGCAGATACTTGTAAATCAACAGTCGTCGATCAGCAACGTAAGCCGTCAATACTGTGGCTGGGAAGAAGGCGAAGGTCAAGATGCCTTCCCAGATCTCCAGTACACCGGGACTGGAAACCGCCAGGATAACGTAGAGCCATACGTAGGCGAAGATGCTCCAAGTGGCGGTGACGAAGAAAACGCGCAGGTGTTTTATCTTCCGGGTCTCGCCATTGGGAATCACAAAGACGCACAAGGAAATGATAACAAAGAGATTGTAAGCGGCGGAGCCAACGATCGTGCCCGGGCCCAGCTCACCCGCTTGAAAGTTCTTCGCCCAAATTTCAATGATGGACAGCAAGATCTCAGGAGCACTACTACCGAGCGCCATTAAAGTCAGATTGGCTACCGTTTCATTCCACACTCGCACCACGATGATCTGCGGCTCCCTTCCATGACGACGCACCACCAATTCTTTCTCCTTGGACGTGATCACCTCGATGGCAGCCATAAAACGATCGCTGATGATCGACACGCCGATGAACAGGTATAACAGCAAAAAAAAGTACACCAGACCCCGGAAGATGATGTCGATTAGATGCAAGTTGTTCTCCGGACGCCAGAGCGGTATCACTAGGCCCGGCTCGCAGCGCAACGAGTAGTTCCCAGACATATTGTCAGAATTGTATGTCAAAAGTTGTATACGGCTGGAACGCTTGACGCGGTAACTTTCTTTCAGCAAGTTACTTGCCGTCTCTTCGGGAATAAAACTCCGCGTGGAAAAATCTCGTTCTTCATTCGGACTGATTCAGGGCGATCTTCCCGCGGCGTTATCTTGACTCGCGACTCGTTTCCGGGGGATGAAAATTTTAAAAATTTATTTGCCTTTCGAGGGAAAGGACGAGAAGCAAAACAGATTTCTATTTTTTTTTTCTTTTTTTCTTTTTTTCCCCGAGCCTCGAGATAAATAATCAGACTTCTAAAAGACTATGTTCTTCCATTTATTACGTTTCCCTTGCATAAATTTTACTCTCTATTACATCAACATTGACTACCGTCAATTGCGAACCGATATTCACCTCTAACGTGCGGAAAGCGTAAACGAATCCAATCTTCCGCATGCGATGCAGGCGTGTTTGTTTTTACTGAAAGAAGGGCGATGACGTCTCGGAACTACCCCAGTCGCGGGCAACAACGATAATACCATCGAGCTGGAATTTTGTACCAGCTAATTTTTCCCTCAGCTCTCTCACACTGACTAATTTCGTTTTCTAATCAAGTCTTCGGCATCGTATCAAATCCCCGTATCAAATTGGCCTTGGAGTATTTTTGTCTGTGTGTCACTGCCCTGTCCTCCCCTGCACTCACGCACTCCCGCCCTGCTCTTTACACCCCTCTCTTTACGCACGCCCGCTCGCACCCCCGGAAAGGCAAGGCTAGTACCACACGGATAACACTGAGAATGGTATATCGGCGTTGGAAATCGGCTACCGATGGCTCCCACCGATATTACCGCGGCAGTGAGCTCCCATCACGAAAGCGGACCCTCTGACACGACGGGGTAACAGAACCGTACCGGGCCGCGCTCGAACGAACACTGAAAGAGGAGTGAGAGAAAGAGAAGAGGCTAGAGGAGAGAGCGGCCAGACCGAGTGGGGAGTGGTGTCTCACTAGCTAGCCAGACGTGGCCACCCCATCTCTTTGCCCTCCTCCTCTCGCCCTTTAGCCTTCTCCCGTATCGCTCTAGTCGCGTCCTCGTCGACGGCAGTGCGCCGGCGATACTCCCATCTCGGTCCTCTCCATCATGCCGACGGTATCGCCGACCTTGTCTCGGTGGTACTTCCGTCCCTATCCAGTTCATAGCATCGGTAGTATTCCCCTTCTTGTCAATTTCACTATTGTGACGATCCCTCCGTCTTTCTCCACCCCACCAGACCCTGACGATATCACCGTCCTCGTCTACTCAACTAGATGTTACCACCGCCCTCGTCGCGTATCTCCATCCTCGCCTACTTCATCACATCAAGTGTTTTACCCTCCTTGTCGACTTCGTTGCACCGACAATACCTCCGAACTCACGGTATCTCCGGTTTGCATCGTTTTCCCGAAGAAATGCCGCCGTATCTATGCGCGTCTCTCGAGTTACGTTTTACATGGCGCAGGAGTACCTTGCATTCATTTATACAGAGTAACAAGAATACAGCTATCCTTTTCTACCGACACTTCTTCTTTCTTTTTCATCCCTCGCTTTTTCACCCCGTATTTATATCATTGTCCTCGTCGAACCCTAACACTTTACCTTTTTTCTCTCCCTCTCCCCCCCCCCTCTCTCTCTCTTTTTCTTATTTTATATCAGGGGTGGCTATATACAACGACAAATTTCTCATGTAACTTCTATGTTCTAATAAAATAATTTGACTTCATGTCTGACAAATGCAAACAGACAACGTCGTATATATGTATATAACATATTTTTTAGAAAATCTAGAAAGTCTAAATAATGTTAAACCAAAAATAAGTTTTTTTAATACAAAGAACTGTAGAAAGGAGGGAAAGGAAAAATAAGGTAAAGGATGTTAGGGCTCAACAAGAACAATGATATATTATAAATATGGATAAATATGAATAAAAAAGAAAGTGATACAGATAATACAGAGGATAGATAATTTTCTATTTTTTTAAATATGTGTAGAAATGTTGTATGTAAACGCAAGCTTTTGTATTTAAAAAAGAAGCAACTTTTATTCAAAAAATGAAATGTATACATATATGTGTATATACAGACTTTCGTCTTTTTCATATTATATATATGTATTCATATTTTGATAATATATAAACAATTTTTATATCGAGAAAATATGTAATTTATTATAGGAGTTTGTAAAAGCATGTAAGCTTATATATGTAGGAGAGAGAAAGAAAAAAAGGAGATTGTTTATTGTCTCAATAAAAATTATTTAAATAAGAACATTTCTTTAATATTTAAATTTTTATTTATGTAATTAAATAATTTATATATCTGTAATTTATTTATTTTTAAAATATTTTAGTTGCTAATTCCAGATCTTGACGGCTTCTTTTGAAAATAATTTTTTTAATTTATATCTTAATTTTTCTTTACCTTATATAAATTTAATTTAAAGTTTTTCTGGTAACACTTTTAGTAAAGGATAAATCTTATAAATAATATAATTTTAATTATTATCGTTCTAAATGAATCTATTCAAATTGCCTTTTCCCTTCTAAAATCATTATCTTTGTCGTTCTTAAATCCTTTCCATTCCTCTCCTAAACTACCCCAACTACCTTTTCTTCCCACGTTCTCTATTCTTATTAGAGCTTGCATTCTCATTACATCTCCATCCTTTAAAGCCAGGAAGAAAGTCAATTTCTTATTCTACAATCAAAATTCTCATAATGATTTATTATTAAACAACTATTATTAATATTTTTAAAAGTAATTTGAATTTTTCTTAAACTAATCAAGCAAATTTTAATTACAAAATAATTGCGAAACGTTGTGTGTAAGAATTTATTAAAACAAGAAATTAAGATTAAAATTTTGGCACATCTCTTCTGAATGAATCTCTCCCTCTTATAAAGTTTATGTATGCGCTATTGCTTTAAAATTCGATCCTTGTCACACTGGGGTGTCCATCCCCTTCCCGTTCTCGTTGTACCGCGCCCTCTTCTCATACCTCGATTTTCTCTGCATGATCGCGCATGTGCGCCACCCAGTGCGCAAGATACACCCTGAAAAGGGTAGAAGCTCGCCTCGATATCTTCCATCTAGCTAGCACGGATAAATTCTAGATCAAGTACAGCGAATTTATATTAGGCAGAATAATTGATTATTTTAACATCAATCAGTGAAATCATTATTAATCAAGTTTTTGTTATTCAAATTCGTTATTAATTATATATATTACACTCACAAAATAAAAAATTATTATTGTTCTTATGAAATTGATATTTACTTACATTCTAAATTTACATTTTGTAATAAAAATATTTAT